TACCGGTCCGCGAACCGGTGGTTGGGGACCCCTGATTTATAGGACCAGCTCTGACTTGCTTTGAGTTGGCATAGAAAATGCTGAACCAAACAATTTTGGTCAGACTAACCAAAGCTCTTCTTGGATTCTTAAACTCTCATCCATTTGTTCCCCATCCTTATACCATTTCTACAATTTAAAATATATCTGGAAGAATGATGTAATTCAAATATATGCTGAACAGGTAAAATAAAGGTTTCCCTGTCTAGTTATAGGTGACTCTAGAGTATGGTGCTCATCTCCATTTCTTGGCTGAGGGAGCTAGCATTGTCCAAAGACATTTTCCATGATCATGTGGCCAGCATGGCTATACATCAAAGACACATGGAACATTGTTACCTTGCCACCAAAGTGGTACCTATTAATCTACTTGCATGCTTTTGAACTGCTAGGTGGGCAGGAGCTGGGGCAGGAATGGGAGCTCGCCCTGTTGTGTGGCACTCAGGTTTTGAACACAGGCTGTCAGTTTTCCAGCTGACAAGCTCAGTGTCTTTAACTGCTGAGCCATCGTGCCCTCTTCTATGCTGAACAATAAAACAGAATTTACTTAGAAAACCTGAAATGTAAACCCATAGAAAGCCCAAGAAATATATTGTACTTATTTAACAGAAGAAAATGCACATAGAATATTTTACTTTCCTCCTTTTAGAAACGAATCATTGCTTAATGGAGCCAAACCGCAGGAGTCTTCAACTACTGCCAATGCAACTCAGAGTTTTTGTTTAACAGAGTGTATATTTATGTGTATTGAAGTGCAGAGTCTTCCTTATTTTATTGCAACAGGCAAAACATAACACCTCACTTGCAGTTCAATGCAGAAAGAGGGAAAAAATGATTTTTTTTCCAGTAGCATTTAAAAGCTGTCCAACAGACCTGAAAAGAGCTAGATAGGAAATTACAACACTGGAAAATTGTGACAAGGCCAAAATCAGTACTAATGAGTAACTTACGAATAAGTGAATGGAAAGAAGAGATAAATAAGAGGATAGTAGAAACAAAGTGTCTATTTCAGGAAATGTTATCTTTTTATAACAAATAAAAGTGAAGGGAAAAAAGTGATTTGGGTATATTCCGAAGTAAACGAAGTAAAAACGGTACTGTAAAAATACAGGTAATCCTTGGATTACAACCATTCATTCCAGGGATCATTTTAAGTTATGATAGTGCTGAACAAAGGGACTTATGACTGGTTCTCAAAGTTCCAGACATTACAGTCACATGAACAAAATTGAAGAGCTTAGCAACTAGCTTGCACTGTTGACTGGTTGCAGAATCCTGCGGTCACATGACTGTGACTTTCTACAAGCAAAGTCAACGGGGGAAACTGGCAGGCAAGACCACAAGTCTCTCAGGCCTCTCCCACCCTCCTGCAAACATTCCTGCACAGGCACTTCCCACTTAATGACCCACACTACTGGAGTTATGACAAACAATCAGAACTGCCTAGATTGTCATCTCTAAGTCATGTGGTCACATGACAATCACATCACTTAGCAATGGCAATTCCGGTCCCAATTGCAGTCCTAATTTGAGGATTCCATGTGACTGTCCTGAAGGATAAGCTCCATTGGCCCAAATTACAAAGTCGATCCAATTTGTAACCCACAGAGCATTATAATAATTTGCATACTGCCAGAGAAGTAAATAACGCCTTGTCCCAGATCCCAGAGAAGAGGAAGTGTCCCATTTATTAAGGGCATCCCTATAAGCTAGAAGGAGCAACGCACCAGCTCTGGATCAGAAGGAACCAAAAGGCCGGATTGCAAGAGGCCCCTGGTCCAAAGCTTGGGAAGGCTAGGTGGGCGGAGGTAAATGACAACCAGCAGCACCCTCGAGCTCTCCGTGGGCTGCCTTTAGTCTTAAGAGCCGGCTGTCCACCTGATGAATCCTTGGAGGCAACAGAGCTGCTGCCCCGCCACAGCTTTTCAACCGGGTCCCGCCTCTGTTTCGAGCCCCGGATCCCCGATGCTCTGCCGATCAGGGTCAAAGCCAGCCTTCCTCCACCCGCTCAGACTTCCACCTCCAGGGCTGGTCATGATCCCCCATTCGCCTTCCTCTCCAGCGGTGCAAACGCTTGCCCTGCCTTTCACCCGCCCGCCCCCCCTATTCCTAACGCGCCTTCCTTCCCAGGCAAGGCGAGGCTCCTCCCCCCCCCCCCCCCCGCCCCCCCCCCCCCCCCACGCTTGCCCGGCGGCAGGAAAGAGGGCAAGTGTTACTCACTCAGCCAGGACTCCAAGCTTTCCCCTTCCGCCTCCGCCATGTTGCCGGCTGGTTCGGAGACTCCGCCCCACCTCCGATCAGGGTTACACCACGGCTGCGCCGAGCCGATCAGGCGCCGCCTAGCCCTCGGAAGGTGAGGGGGAGGAGGTTCGCGTCTCCTCCTTTCTCCTCGCCTCCTCTGGTGGCGGGCGTCGCTCACTACCTCTTTTTCTTGTGATCAGGTTGTCCTTGTTCTTGCTCGGATGGTCATTCCCGCATCTGCGCTTCGCTTGTGCGGTCGCCTTTTCAAATATGTCGGGTGTGGTTGGAAAAAAAGATTCTACTTAAAAAAAACACAAAGATTTTTCCTGAATCCCTGCTTCCATCCTTGGCAAAATAGACCCAAAGCTGATAATAAAAATCAAGGTTGTATATCCTATTTATTGTAGGACCAAATTTGGATGATTATCTTAAATACTTTTTTAAAAAAATCCACCTGTATAATGTAACGATCCTAAAAGGCGACAATTTTTCTTCAAGACCCAGCTTACATAACGCTGTCCCCCTATATAGAGACATTCTCAGGAAAATAAAATTGAATAAGTTGTAACCTAGAGGTTTGTTTGCCGATATACAGGTGCTTTGTGATTGGCTATATCTACCATGGCAACTATGTTGTGAGAATTTGCAGTCATACATTCTTAACATTCCAAATGTGCACTCTGATTCAAAAAGTTGAGGTCCCAGGAATATGTACCACTGGCTCCCTTGCAGTAGCACAAGAGCTGTGACAACGAAAGATTTAATAGATCTTCATCTCTAGAAGAAGAACCTGCTTGGACCCATCCACTTACATGAAATATTTTCTTAATCTTTTCTTAATCAGATACCTTCTGGAAGTTTTGCATTCAAGCTATTAAGACCATAACTTCATTGTCTACCTTTCCTGCCATTGGTATTTATTAGCATTTTTACAGGACACAAATTTCTATCCCACTTTAGTATCCCAAAGGTGCTTTTTTAAAGAAGCAAATGGACTTTTTTTTTTTTTTTAAAAAAAAGCACCTTTGGGACAACCATGACCACCTGGATGACTGGGACCTCCATAGATGTCCCACTTTAGTATTAAAAAAAAAACTTTAGTTATTTTAAAAAATTATAAAGTAATGGAAGGAAATGGTAGAACAAATACAATAAAATGAGATAACAAAATAAAAAAGACTAAAATTTAGCAATATGATAAGACAAATGTCTATGAGAACAAGGTTTATCCATTGTTGTTTTACTGCCAATGCTACATCCTATTTGTAAGTTTGGTAGCTATGTTCAGTTATGACAGCCAATACTTACTTGTTCTTTTATTTATGACAGCCTGTTTTTCCAGGTACAAATCTTTCCAATTCATATTAAAATAGTATTGTTCAATAAGAAAAAACATTTTTTTAAAAAATAATCAGAATTGCTTCTATGGGACAAATAGGGAAGAATGAAAGATGCTAGTTTGAACAGGCTCTGAGATGGTTTTTAACTGCCTTCCCTCAGTTTTCTTTTATACCAGACAATTGATGATGACTAACTCATATTTAAAGCTATCCGAACTAAGGGATTGACACACCTTTGCTTGTACTGTAGCCATGAACTCCATAAATCTATTGTGTATTGTGTGAACAGTCTTTTCTTTTCCTGAATCTCCTTTCAAATTTATTAGATTGCTCCCAAATTCTTAATTTTAAGCAGAAAGTAACATTTTGTAATCCCGTTTTTTCCCTCCTAAAATTAAAAATAAGAACCAAGTTTTTCTGCATTCAAGATTTTTCTCGGGCTGTTTGTAATTGTAGTCATCACTTTCATTTCCCCCTCTTTTCAACACTCTTTCCAGAGTCCTCCAATGATGGACAAAAATACACTGTTTTCATCAACTACACCAGCATGGTTGATCCCAAACTGATAAAAGATGGCTTACAAAACACATTTTGCCGGACTGTAGTTTTCCAAGGCTTTTCGAGAGCGATCTCCTCCCCATACTCCCAACCATATGGAAAACTATGGCAAACTAGCAAGTCTTTATATATATATATATATATCACCTATATATATATAGGTGAAGGTTACAACTCCTGCCACTTGGCATTTTGGATGCTGTAGTTCCAAAGTGATATTCCAGCCAACTTGCTCAGTTGCGTTTTTCCTAGAACCATTCATAGATCTCATAGAATAAGAGTTGGGAGGGACTTTGGAGGTCATCTAGTCCAACCCCGTTTGAGCAGGAGAGTCTATTCCAAATATTAGCCTCTACCTAGGCTCGAACTCACAGCCTCCTGATTGTGAGGCGAGAGCTCCACCTCTAGGCTTCTTTAAACGATGAACATTTTTTGGAGGCAACCACTTATTGGCCCCAATTGTTGTGTTGGCTTATTTATTGTGCCAACCAGCGCATTGTTTCTATCGCTTGAAAAAGCGAGGAGCACTTGCCCAGGATTGGAAGGAACCCCTTATGTCCACTTACTAAATTGAGACTTGGCAAGAAATTGATTACACAAGCAAGTAAAACTTCTTGTACTTTTTTACAGATACACCAAGAAGGGAACGTTAGCATATCCAGCTGTCTCAGCAGGGATAATCTACTAAAGAAGGAAGCCCACCCGGGTTTTTTTTTTGGTTTTTTTTTGCGGAACTTCCCTGCTGATGGCTACGTCACAAAGGCTCGTGGAATGGGGAAGCCCCTCCCCCGGAAGGCTGTTTCCAGAGCAACGGCGCTCCTCCCCCTCATCCCAGGCGGTCCTTTGGAGTTTGGACAGCCCTCGACGAGGTCTTGAAGGAAGATGGCGTCCCCCGTGGTGGAGAAAGTGGGGCGCCTGGTCCGGCAGCTCCGTGCCTCTCGGAAGCTCTGGCTACCCGGGTAAGGAAGGGAGGAACAAAGAAAGAGAAAGGCTTGAGACAATGCCACGTAATGGACAGAGGAGGGTTGGATTTAATCTTGGTTCCCTAAACCAGAATGACACCTAGAATTATGGCTCCTCCAAGCAGCATGCATGCCAGGCGGGAACGTGCATAGAAACTGTGGGAGGAAATCCTCAAATGCCTTCTGTGAAATAAAAATTAAATTACCCTCGTCTCCTACGTGGCCATAATCATGCAATGTTTTGCAAGCGGTTTGCGTTTCTTCTTTCCCTTTTTAAGTTTTTCAAGGTCAGCCAAGTGGCATGCAGTGGCTAAACTCATCGGGACCAACTGGGTTTATTTTTGCTCGCTTTGTTCGGGTTAACGTTGGGCTGAAGTGGTTGCACCCGAGAGACTTGCATGTGAGAAAAGGAGTTTACATGCAGCATTCTAAGTTTTCATGCCTTGGAGGTTGAAAATATTGGTGTTGACAACCGTTTTCTGCTCATCAAATCTTTTGTAGGCTGACTCAAGTCAGGTGGAGCCGATACAGTCCTGCATATATTGATCCAGAAGTGAATAAAGAAATTTATCGTAAATCTCCAGAGGAAATGTCAGAGGAGGAAAAAAATAAACAGCAGTTGAAAACAATCCAGCCGGTAAAAGCTACCGAATCCAGCATCACCAGTTCTGTGTTTTATGATCCCGCGATCAGGTTTGGGTTTTTTATTTATTTTAATTTAATACTAATTTTATTAAAATTATATTTATAGTGATAAAACTAATTGAAATTAAAAAATTGTGCAGAAAATAAATAGAAAAAGAATAAAAATAAATTATAGTTTAATGTATTCAAAAGATACAAATACATAATTCAAAAGAAAAAATAGAGACAAAACTAAACAAGAACATTAAAAAGTGAAATAAAAAGGTCAAAAAACAACAGTATCCCTCCTAATTAAATGCTGACAAACTGTTTGCAACAATAATAGCTTTCTCACTTCCCCACCAGGTCCAAAATTTATAAGCTTCTACATCTGTTTGCAACCCAATTGACCTGTCATACTTTATATATTTCATACTTTATATAAAGAAAAAATAGTTGACAGGTTAAGTAGCAGTAAGTTAAGAATTCAGGGCCTTCTGTTAATAGTCTGTTTCCTGAAAATTACTTGTAGAAAGTTTACAACAGTTTTTTATTTACCACAAATTACATCAATCATTACCTCTGATTTGCCTAGGATCAAATATCCCTGTTTGATTTTTAATGAAACTTTTCCTTAGTTTTTTAATTGGGAACTTTCCCAACATTTGCATCTCATTTCCAAAGTTCATTAGTCTCTGTTGTAAATGTCTCTGCAGCATTCATTGTTGCAAAATTCTCTTTAAAAACACAGCATTCCTCTTGCCAAGAAAGTCCAGTGCATCCTTCATCAATTCCATTATTTCAAAATTTTTAGTATTTATATTCCTTTTAATCTTTTGTGGCAGATGTCCATTTTTTTTCAAACCAAGTGCTTTTTCACATCTGACAGCAGCAGATCATGTTCCAAATCAGATTTCCATTCATCAAGTTGCAAATCAATCCAAATGTGATTTCACACTTTTGGATATTATCTTGAATTTGCACAGCCATTGGTGATCCATCCAATTTTTGGTTTAGGTTTTCAAATAATATCTATAAGGTGGAGAGTATTAGTTACATAATTATGAAAATTTTATATTGCGGAATGATACTTAAGATGACTGAGTGCTACAGGTAGTTCTTAACTTATGACCGCAATTGGGACCAGAATTTCCATTGCAAAGGAAGGAGCTTGTTAAGTGAGTTGCACCTGATTTATGACCTTTCTGCCATGGTGATTAAGCAAGCCATTGCAGTTCTTAAGTGCACCCCATTGTCATTAAGTGAATCCAGATTTCCACTTTGATTGTTGGAAGCCAGATGGGAACATTGCAAATGGTGATCATATGACCTTGGAACACTGTAACTGTCATAAATACATTGTGGTTGTCAAGTGCCTGAATTTTGATTATGTGCCTGGGGGGGGAGGGGGGGGATGCAACAGTCATGAGTCTGAGGACTGGCCACAAATCACTTTTTTCAGTGTTGTCATAACTTCAAACAACATTAAATGGATGGTTTCAATTGAAGACTACTTATAAGACTATCACATTTTTAATTTTGTCATTACAGCAGATTCATTAACATGATGATGAAAGGAGGTGATAAACTTTTGGCACGTACCATCATGAATCAGGTACAATTTATGTTTCACATGCTTTTTCTTTATTATTGCCCATATGGGAAAGAAATAATAACCCTTTTAATGGTTTTTTTATGTGCTTACCCTTCTTTTAACAATCTATTGCATATTCAGTTATTTCCTCGATTTACTTCTTACCAAATGTCAAATGAATCACAAATTATATGTAGGTCCGTGTATATGCACCATATTTTTTAAACCTGCCTTTCAGAATTATAGTGGAAGCAATATCGGAACTTTTCTAAGGCCTTTTTAATTTTCTTTTTTTTAAATAATTTTTATTGCTTTTTTAAAAATAACAGGAAAACAAAAAGACAAAAACAAAGATATAGTACATTATCAAAAAAGCCATAACAAGTGCTTAAAAAGTAAAAATACAAAATATAGAATGTACTGTACAATTATACAGTATATATAATTATCTAAAGCACACATGCAAGTGTGTGCATGTGTGTCACTGTATATTCATTCTAATTTATAATTGTGCTTTTTAAGGCTCTGCTGATAGTATAATTTTAAAAGTCAATAGCTTTGAGAACTGAGAAAATCTTTGTTAAATTTAGTAGACAAGGAGAGGTTGAGGTTTTGATCTTTGAATCTTTCTCAAATGGCATGGATTTGTAAGTTGCATACCCTGTGTAAAACAAGATGTGATGTAACACTGATTAGTGACCATCCATATATGGAAATTAGTTCTATGTTGAGTAAATCATATTGCTGAGTGAGCCCTTCACAATCCTTCCTTTACCTTTGTTTGGAATTAAGACTTTAGAGGCCATTAAAAGGAAGCAACTTGCAAAATACCATGAAGCCAGTGAGGAAATGAAAGAAACAATTGAGTGCAATCCTTACAAAATCTTCCATCAAGCAATCGAAAACTGCCAACCTGTAATTGGGCTTGTGGGTATCATAAGAGGAGGTAAAAGGTATCAGGTAAGATATAAATAGAGAATGGCTGTGTTAATGGAATGCACTGAATTTTTAAAACCATTGTTTAATGACTGTGCCACAGTGACCAACTTTGCACATAATATTTAGTGATAAATACCAGCTTATAAACCACAATCACCTATCCAACGAAGCCAAGCCAAAATCAAACAATGTGATGGCTTATAAAATAGTTAATGAGTCCTTTAAAGAACTAGCACCCTGGTGTCAAGCATATCTAATTTTCTCCAACTCAATCTAGTTGGATTTGCATTTTTTGTAACTTAAATATGAAATTATAATAGATGAATAGTATAAAAAAATCATTCCATTGGGATTCAAGATTCTTCTGTTTCCATCTATCGATTGGCAGGTTTACTGCTGTCAGAAAAAACATACTACACTGAATTTGTGTTACATAAATTTTATTGAGACAAAAATTTACTTGCATTTTTTTCTTTTGAGTTGCCTTTAAATTGCATGGCATCATTTTCAGTGGACCCGGATTCTTGCATACATTTCTGCATATTTATATATAAGGCAAAACATTTCTGAGAATTTCCTCTTGCATTTGGAAAAGTTCATAACATTGCGGAAAACAGTCTTCATCCACTTTAGTTTTAAGTTGAGATCCCAGAATTGTTGCACTGATTTATACGGCCACCCTGATGTTGGTTTGCATGTTTTGTAACTTAAACATGGAATGATCTGGATGGCATACACCAAAAGCAAACCATAACATGCAAAATATCCACATAACATTAAATAGTTTTTGTTACAGAAATCTTGAATTCAACATTTTTTTGAAGACAAATATGTAGTTTGTTCTAAATTTAATTAGCATGCTAATGATAGTAAAGTATATTGAACCTCCTTTGCTTTTTTCAGGTACCAACTCCTTTAAAGATTAGTCGGCGGAGATTCTTAGCCATGAAGTGGATGATCACAGAATGCAGAGAAAACAAGCACAGGCGAACATTAATGCCTGAAAAGCTCTCAAATGAGCTTCTGGAAGCCTCCAACAACAGTGGCAACGTGATAAAAAAAAAGCATGAGTTGCACAAAATGGCAGAAGCTAACCGGGCCTTTGCTCATTATCGATGGGGGTAAAGAATGTGCTGTTGGATCAAGTGTATGATGACTTAAGACTTTTGCTACCAGAAAAGACAACTTTTCATTGTTTTAATTCCATGTGCTATTCTTTGCATATCACTAATCTGAGCAGAAAGTTGCCTGCTTCCCATTCAACTCTCATCAAAAGAATATGAGCTGGAAAAAAATCAGGGTCCCCCTTTTCAAGTTCACATAGGATGTGATTTTGAATATGTCACATCCCAAATGATATCATCAATACAAATAATTGTTTATTTCCCACTCTTGTGTTCATCAATTTCCATTCATGTTTTGGAAAACTAACAAGCAGGTGATTGAAGGTGATCAGAGCTGAAAAATAGTAAAAATGGAAACTACTTTCTGACTTGTTACTTGTATATGTGGTGAAGAAAAACCTTTATATTATAGATTCTTTGCAGAAAATAACGTGAATGAGAGATCAGTAGAATGAATATTTGTCTCTGTTTACATATATGTTATTTCATGGGCAAAAATAAATGACACAATTTATATCCTTAAAATATAGTGAGTGTTGGAGGGGTTGCCAAAAGTCTGTCTGCATCCAGTGAAATAATTACTATATAGCTTATTCTACCTAATTTTTATTTAAATAACATGTACTAATTTTAAATTATAAGTCCCTTATCTACAACACACAAATTCTACTTGATTGAAATGTTTCAAGCTTGCTGATACCTTCTGGAGATAGCAAGGAAGAATGCCAAACATTTTAATATTTCCATTTATTAATGAAATATATACAACACATAAGACCTGAAGCTGGTTTAGGAATTAAAGCAATAATGAACTTCTTTAGAAGATGATCGTAAATTATTAGATTATAACCCTTTTTATTTTTAGGTAATATTAATTTGCTTGGCTGCATTTAGGAGTGATTGAATTTTTTTTCATCTGCACCTTGAGTGTTTTCAGTGGCATCAGCAATACCTAGAGATAAATTATCAAACTGAATTTAAAGTATTGTTAGCAACAGACTTGGATAGATTGAACGAAAATAATATTTGGGGGAAAATAATTAACCACTGGTAAAATTTGTCAGTCACCAGGTCCCAGAAATAAGTTTCTTATGCATTCAAAACCCCAGAAATCTCTCTCAGGATTGGACAGAACTTTGTTCCATGGTCAACCAGTGTAATAGGTGGCCTTCTGAAGTGGTAAATTCCCATTTCTGTAAAAGAAAATTCCAGCTCTTACCATAAAGTATATTGTTTTCATTGAATTAAAAATGGCAACCAGAAATGTGCCTTCATGAGCTATCTTGGTATTGTCGTATTTAGTCCTTCTCAAAAATTGGAAGATGTTAAATTTCTTGTGGTTTTTTTAAGTGTAGAATCCTTCCATCTCTACCAGCTGCTAAGGATATAGCTATTCTGTTTTGGACCTTAATGATAAGTTAATTTGGGGAAAGGAGAACCAGGCTTAAAAATTTCAAGGCAATTCTTTTCTTGGAGAATCTAGGTGAAGGGTGGGTGAATCATTTAATAGGGCCAGGTTGTCATCTGAGGAGTTGCATTGTAAGTATTCATTGTGGAAAAAGTATAACAATTACTTTTGTTCAAATAACTTCTGATCTCCAAATATGTGCTGATATCTTATGTATCTCAGAATCCATTCTAGCATTGTCATGGCATGTTCTTACAAAATAACTAGCATATAAATTGTTACTATAAATGTTGCTTCCTTAACCTTTTTTCTGCAGGCTAGCATTTCATGTGTGATTGATTAAGTGTGCCATCCGGTTAATGTCAATTCTTGTTGGCCACAAATTATCCCCATATTGATTTGTTCCTAACTTGATTCTGCAGGTTTTTCAGCAATGCATTCATTGTCACTGTAACTAAATGGACCTTGCTAAGTGGTGGCCATTTTCTTTGTCCTTCTATCTCCCAGCATTGGAACCTTCTCCAAAACTAGGTTTTTGCATAATTTGTCCACCTAGAATTATTTGATTGTGATCATGTGTGCTTCGTATGAGAACTCTGGATTTATTTATTCAGTTGATCCATTGGTTTTTGGCTGTCTATGATATTCTCAAGAATCATTTCCAACATCAAACTTCAAAAGTGTCAATGTTCTGCTTCTTCAAGGTTCCCCTTTATCTTCCCTAAAGTCACAAGGAATAGCATTGTTTCACTATTCTGTAGGTATTGACACATCCCAGCATCTGAATATTTTTTTCTAATATCTTTATGGCTGCTCTAGTCTACAGCCTAAAAGGCAGAAGATACCTTCATTATCTCAGTCAATTCTAAGGTTGATTGCTCTACCTGTTGTCATTAACTTAGCATTCTTTATATTTTACTTCCAGATTCTTAAGTGTGTTCCTTGACCCTTATTGCTAGAGCTGATAGATCTTTTGCATGTTTGCTAAAGTAGTAGTATTAGTATAATGGGAGTTATGTCTCCTCCTTTAGTGTTAAAAACATGTTCATCGTTTTCCAATCCAGCTTCCCTCAATATTCAGCATGTAGGTGGAATAAATAAAGGGGGAATATACAGACTTACCACACTCTTTTGCCTACCTAGATCCAGTCTGTTTCACCATGTTCTGACCATTTGATGGCTTATTGATCTGAACAGGTTTCTCATCAGGAAAATGAATTGTTCTGGGATTCCTACTTTTCTAAACTTTGCATAACTTGACACGATCAACGCAATCAATGGCCTTTTTAAAAAAAAATTGAAATATTAGTTGCCTTTCAGTATGCTTTGCCTTTCTCAATCATGCAAAGTACACGAGGAATAATGTATTCCTCATGTACTTGGCCTTTTCTAAAGCCAGCTTGAATATCTGGCATCTATTTTTCCACGTAGAACTCTAATCTACAGTATATTAGATGTTCCCAAGTGTTATTTCTGTAGCATAAGTAATTAAGGATGTTGTATAATAATTGTACATTGTTAAATCCCCTTTATTTGGGACATTGCCATATGTTGGTTTTCAGATCTGCTGGTATAGTTTTAGAACCTTTATTCTTTTCTGGTTACTTCCCATATTTCTGTCACCATTTCATGTGTACACAACCCAATTCTCTTTGAAGATTAAAATACCCTCACAATTTTACACAGCCATAGTGGTAAAGAGAGATATATTTGTGAAGTGACTATGCTGAACCCCTGATGTGCAAAAATACAGATGTCTCTCACTTGGGAATGGAGGATACCCATATATCTTTGCAATGCAATTTGATTGTGCTTTTGACATGACTGAACTATCCCATAATCCAGTTGCATCTATACACCAACCTACCATGTATTAATTAGATGCTTGCTGATCCTTTAATTTTTCCACATATAGAACTGGGTGAGGATGAGTTGTATGTTTTGAGAATGATAAAATATGATAAAACTAGTGAATTGATAAATGTTTTGTTCTACATACTGATACACTTGTATCAAGTGTTTCCATGGCAAAACTACTGACTACTTTCCGAAGAATAGTAAGTAAGGTTGACATACCACTATATATGTGTTGTCAATTCAACTCTGTTAGTATTCTTGGAGAAACCTTCTGGGTGAATAAACTCAGGCTAAAATCTTGAATAATAAGCACTTCAAGTAGCAACATTTTTTGCTGATTCCATATAGGATACCATTTATGGTTTCTGACTGATGAAAGGTCATCTCATGCCTCTAGCTGAATGATTACTCCCTGATTTAATTTAGTCTAGAAAAAAAAAAGTGGAGGCAGAAGTGTAAAATATTTTATAAAAGTTCCAAACAGAATGAATTCTCTTAGGAGAAATTTACAGTACATTGGTTTAAAGTATTGTTGCCGAGAAATGTTATAAAATGTATTGTTACCTATTCCCCCAAAAGGGCTAATTCTGCTGTGGCTTTGGAAAAGTCTGTTGCTTTGCATCTTCTGGAGGCAGAAGGTGTCACCTTAGCTAAAATCTGACCTAGCTTAGAAGAAAGCTGAAGGCTGCAAGCGGAAAATATTTGTATAACATTTTCCTATACTTGGAGAAAAACCAAAGTGCCCCATGGTAGCCTCCTTTTTCTTTTTTTAAAAAAAGTGCTGTTGCAGGGTCAGTCAAAAACCACAGATATCCTCTTGAAGCCTCAAGAATTGCTGGGTAGCAGCTTCTTAGGGCATACTATACTATGATGGACTTTCACAATCTGGTGCCCACCAGATGCTTTGGATTTGAACTTCCATAGAGTTAAAATTCACACCTGAAAGGCATTATGTTGAAGAAACCCACATTAATAAAAAGATTTGTCTCTTTTTTCAAGGAGAGAACTCTGTAGCCTTTAAGGAATCTAAAATACATGTTTAATTACCAGTTTTGTTTTGCTTAAGGGGGAAGTGGAAAAGGGAGAGAAAATGTCTCTTATCCTATTCTTTTCATAAGATAAGCCTTTTTATTGTGATGAATTTTGCATCTAAGTAGGCAAGGATTAACTATCAAAGTAGCCCTTCTTAGATGATTCCATTGTATATGCTGGTTGTGATAAGACTGTCCATCAAAATCTCCCTTATGCAATACCAGCCTCTCCCTGTCAGACTAGTTTCCTATAGTTGGGGAGAAAAGAAAAGAGTTTGATTTCAGACTAATCTAGTCTAGGCACCGTTTGGATTCCAGAGTGATTAATAGTTCCATTGGAGAAAGCTTGGTTACAAAGAAGTAAATGACACTTGAGCTTTGATCATATAATTATTTGCCTTTTTTTAAAAAAAGAGTAAATTGAGGCTAGTAACCAAGTATTAAGTGAAACAAAGCCTTACCAATACAGACCAGAAAGAGCTGGGTTTTTTTGTTGTTGAAGTGTATGTAAAATGATTCCTAGGCTAGTTTTTAAAACCTGCCGTTGATGTTGCTAAATTGAAAGTAAGGGAGAGAAAACCTCCCTGCGTAAAATGCCAGCCTAGCCTGCAAAAGGACATAATACAAGCCGGTATTTAGTGCAATACAACAGGAGTAGCAACGGCCAAGCGTCTGCCACTTTTTTTTTAAGTGTTTTCTCAGCTCCTCAGTTTTGGGCAGCAGTTCCCTGGCACCAAGGAGCAGGGCACATGTTCTATAACAAAAGGGTTAGGAATTAAAAAAAAACACACACAAGTTGCAGCTTTGGTGTAAAGTTTGCTGGTGAAAATGGTGCGAATGCAGGCTTTGCTGGTGGTTTCAAGTGTTCAGTCAGTGACCTCACTGTAATAATACTTCTGAGCTGCTTCTGTCATTTTCCAATCAGTGGCCCGGAACTCAATGATCTCCAGGAGTAGCAATTGGGAGAGGGAGCTGAGACCCTCCTCCAGAAGGAATCCATCACGCAGAAGGGAAAAGAGCTCATCCATCCTCTGACTGTTCATCTTTTCAAGCTGTTCGCCAATGCGGTGCAGCTGCAGCACCAGGCAGTCCACCTTAAGGCAAGGAAGCAATGGACTTCTTGAAGAATAGAGAGCATTACCACACACATCCTTGAGGCTTCTCTTCCATCCCATTACCCACCCACAAAAATAAATGCAGTTCAAGGCCTACCTCACCTCTCCTCAAACTAGTACCATCCAGATATGGCCATTTTGCCAACCATTATGGCAATTGTTCCTTTTCCAGGTGCATATAGGAATAGTTTTATACTCAAAAGTACATACTTTCTAAACATATTCTCATTAAACAAGACCCATTTGTATTCCTTCTTGGGACTTTGAATCATTCAATAACTTTTCCAATACTCTTGTTATATATTCAAAATATTCTACAATTTCATCCAAAAGTTCTGATTCTTTTATTAGTATAATTCATTGGAATGTAACATGCATCTGACACTAACCAATGGATCCCTACTTTCATATGCACCCACAACAACCTACTTGACACCACTTAGTATTTTCTAACACACGCCATAATCCAGGTGTCAAACTCAATTTCATTGAGGGTTGCATTAGGGCTGTGGTTGACCTTGGGTGTGTGTGGGGGGTGTCAGACAGGCATGGCCAACTGGGTGGGCATATCCAGCTTGACGCCATTCACTAAACTGCTGGCATGTTTCCTCTTCACACTGAGTAGACTGGCCCAATGTTTCCTCTTTGCATTGGATAGACCAGGCCGAAGCGACGTGGGCCGTTCCCTTATATTTTACAGGATGGCCCCACAGGCCAGATCCAGCCTTGTGTTTGACACCCCTGCCATAACTCCTTGATTCAGAACTCCCTTACACCTTGATTTCCTTGCATGTAATCCCCAAGTCCACTTCATAAGACAAGACTTTCTCCATTCAAGTTTATTCCACCTTTCCCTTTTCTTTTAGTTCTAATTATCCACCTGAGCTGTGATTTAACAGAATCCATGTTATCCGTGGCTTGTTCCAAGAAAACTCACCTCTTCCTCTTTCTGCAGACTATCGGGCTGTGCCAATCGGAAGAGGCAGTCATAAACAGGATTCACCAATGCCATCATGGGCATATTGTTAACCTGTTAACAAAGTGTGGACTTGTCATATTCATAAGCATTGTGAAATGTTTAACCCCCCCACCCACCCATCTTCAACTTCTTATTACCACTTGGATATTAAAAAAAAACAACTAAGCAAGTAACTATATTGTTAACTAAAAGCAGTGCAGAAAAAATGCTCGTATTTTTAACTTATTTGGATGTTTGCTTAATGACTACAACAAAAAGTGTTTTTAAAAAAATCGGCTCTGGTCGCATTATGCCTTGACTTATGGTCGCAACGACTTATGACTGAAATTCTGAGCTCATGGTCATAAGTTGTGGACTACTGTATACTGAAGTTACTTAAAATAAGCTTTGGGAAAAGAGAGGCATGAACCAACACCAAGCCAACTCTGAATGTTGATCTGAGGCATTTGGGTGTTCTCAGTAAGGTCCAGAGGTGGTATTCAGCAGGTTCTGACCAGTTCTTGAGAACTGGTAGAAATTTTGATTAGTTCAGAGAACTGGCAAATACCACCTCTGACTGGCCCCGCCCCCACCTATTCTCTGCCTCCAGAGTCCCAGTTGATTGGCTGGGTCTTGTTTTGTTGCCCTGCGAAGGAGAATGGAGCTGGAAAGCAGGTTAATGAGGTGGGGAAGGAATGGGGATTTTACAGTATCCTTCCCCCAGGAGTGAGGAAGGAATGGCGATTTTGCAGTATCCTTCCCCTGCCACGCCTATCAAGCCAAGCCCACCAAGCTATGCCCACAGAATCGGTAGTAAAAATATTTAAATCCCGCCACTGATAGAGCCCCCTTACCCGCAGGTAATCAAAGATGTTACAGATAAAAGTGACGTAGCAGATCCATGCTTGGAGGGAATGGGCTCGCAACTCATCACGGCCCTTATACTCTTGCTGCAGTCGGTTGAGAAGGCACCTCCGGAAGATACTTTGGCCTGTTTGTTTGCTTTCCACCTGTGATAAACATCAAGCTGTTAAGTCCAAGGGAAAGCTATATATAACCTATAGATAGATAGATAGATAGATAGATAGATAGATAGATAGATAGATAGATAGATAGATAGATAGATAGAGAGAAAGATTAGATATATAGAGATAGAGATAGAGATATATGCAATCAAAGGAAATTGCAGTCCATGTTCCCTTTATATTGCTCACATGTATAGCTTTGCAGCAGTTGTCTGACCCAGACAATCATTGTCTGACCCAGACAATGAGCTAACACAAACAGAGACCAGGAAAGGGGTCAGTGAGGAAAAGGATGGTGAACTAATGATCTTCAGCTGTCAAAAGAGAGTGACATGCACCAGATGTATCTCCTATTGGAACTGAAATTCAAAAACACACGACATGTAAAATGGAGGGGCCTCTGAAGTTTTTCTCTAGGCCCAGGCCTAGAGGAAGAACCCAGTACTTTTCCTTTGCCTGTAAGTCATGAAATTAGGAGTCTGGAAAGGAAGAACTAGGTTAAAGTTACTCCAGCAACAATTCCTATAAACTGCCTCCCACCCAGTAGATATCATGTCTTGCACATTTGCTTCCTGGTCTTGAGGGAACATTAGTGGTAGCAGCACGGGACTTTTACCTCAGCATTTGTACAGTGGTAAGGAAAAGCAAGTGATAAAACACGTATGATATTGTAATACAAGCCTGTCCCATGTACTTGAACACAATAGAAATCTGCCCACTTTTTCGGTGCAACTGGGCTTGGAAAGGGAGACCTCTGTTCTCCCTCCATTTTCTCTCTCTTACACACACACTGCTCAAACCCCACCCATAAGAAGACAAAACGTGCCTAAAGAAGCAGGAGCCTCTCGGGGCACAAAATGTGGAGGGAGGCAAAACTTAAATGGGTTATTTAACGAGTTTTGCTCACCAAGTCAGGGGCTGCAGTTGAAGGGATAGATTCAGCTTCTATCCTCTCCTCTGGGCTGGATACCAAACATGTTCTGCAGGTCAGGCCAAGCCAAGCTCCATCTGTGGAAAGGAAGCATGGCTGCTGAATGACAGGCATGCCCAGAACCCTGCTTTAATGCAGCCTACGGGCTCCTTCTTATTAATTAATTACACTGCGTTGTGTTGTATTATTATAGTGTATTACGCATATAGCATATTATATGCAATATGAGGGGAGGATAGCATTATTGCATTGTTATTACTATATTACATTATACAAGTCTATCTCAGACTAGAAATGGGGACATCATCCCACCCCATTCACAGGCATGATGAAAACAATGCTGAGTATCAACAAACAAAATCCAAGGTGTGCTGTAGTTGGATGTGGAAAATGGCATTAAACTTCTTACTGATTCTCAGGAGGACGATTCGGTCTCTCACCTGAGTGATGGCATAACAGATGCGCCCGGCCTCTTTACTGAACACACAGTCTTTTAAGGACTGGTCAACAATTATATTGGCCACTTTCTCCCGATCCACGCTGCTGGGATCTACAGAAGAAGAAGCAACACTCAATTCTAGATTAAAAGAAATGTAAATCCATTTGACAGAAATGACATCAGCAGTGCCACATCAAACACTATTCCAAGTGAACTTGGAGACATGTACCCAAAATTTTGGTGGGCAAAAACAGGAACTGGG